TGAAACCTTACGGGTAAGCTAAAAGGATATATGTTTCAAAAAACAAAACTGTGAGAAGAGCTGGTCGTACTAACAGCAAAATTTAAAAAGCCACGAAGCCAAAAGAAGAAACAAGAAGTAATCAAGAAAATGGTATATTGTGTCAAAATGCCAATACTCGAATCCTTTTTATACAATTTTATTCTTATTATTATTCTTTTTCTCTTGTGTGCATCTGTAGTGTGGAGTTTAAACTGCTCAGTATTATCGTCTGTACAAACTCTGTGTTCGCCTGCGTGCACGTTTTTGTACTCTCAACACACAGTTGCAGTTGTTATCGAAGATAATGTAACTTAAATTTAAAAATAAACTTTACCTAGTCATCTTTGTTCAAACTGGTTTAACTTCCTTAAAATGCACATAGACTGTGTGCAGAACGCTAAGCCCCGTCCTGATACGTAATTATCCACTGAATGAGTCGTTTGGTTTACTTCAAATACACAAGATTTTGCATCCGCTCTGTTAGAAAAATTCAGCTGCAAAGTAGGTGTGATAACATCACTGTTAACTTCATCGCAGGCTTTCGATAATTACGTCCATTTCAATAAAAGGTATTCTTCAAAAAGTTTAAAGGACACTGAAAATTACAATTAAAATGGCTTCGGGGATTTTGAGAACATCTCTGTTTATATTAAATTCTACCAAAGCATTACCTACATCCGGGTTACCATGAGATGCGCACGCACCGCCGCAGGTATCGTTCGTCGTGGGTTTAGCTACTTTTTCGTTTATTTTTCTTTTACTGTGGACGCGCTCCACATTACATTTTCCAGCCGTTATTGTCTGGATTTTTTCCTTTATCGTGCTCTGTGACGCGTCACAGGCGGACTCCGCTCTTGTGCCGAATTATAATTTTATGATAAGACTCCTGCACGTGTCCAGAGTTTAAACAATTGTGATGTAACGCGTTTATACCCTTTCCTCGTATCTTTACGAGTCTCAACGAGTTTGTGACCAACTATACAGCCGGTTATTTGGACCGATTTTTTGATACCACGTGGCGGACGAGTCCGCCATTTTGTAGTGCAATAAGCTTGACGTTTTCTTTATCGGTCTTAATTTCGTCAGACGATGTCTGAGGAGTCTCAGAAAATTGCAAATTCTGGAGGTACTTCGCCTGTGGACCTCAACGCGATGTTTGCCGAACTTTTAGATGATGCCAAAAGAGATATTTTGGCCCACGTACAAGACTCTATCGAGAAGGTTTATGCCGATTTTGAAGATTATGAGACCAGCCCTGAGAGCGGTGAAGCGAGCACTGAGTGTTCGGATGCAGCTGTTGCAACGGCTGTTGCAACTAAAATAAACGATTTTATCCAGCCAAAAACCTCAGACCATGCTGAAGGCTCGGATGGCGGTTCCTTTATCACTCGCTGATGAATTTAGTGTTCTTGAGAAAACTTCACCTGCCATAGATGCCAATTTGGCAGAAAAAGTGAAGAGTCTGCTTACAGAGAAGCTCACAAAAGAAAAGTTGGCCGAGGTACAGAACAAGTACCTCAGACCTGAAAACTGTACTAATTTGGTTGCACCCAAGATAAACAAGCAAATTTGGCAACAATTACGACAGGAGACCAGAAACAATGATTCAGCTTTCCAGAAGGCACAGTCCCTGCTCTTGTCAGGTTTATACGCTGTACTTCAGCTGTGTAACAGTGCAAATGGGGATCAGTGGAATGTTTTGACCCATACAGCAGTCCTGCTGTTGTCAGCAAATAGAGAGCTTAATCTGAAACGAAGAGATCTCATTCGTCCTGACCTGAACAAGCAATATGCTCCTTTATGCAACCCATCTACAGCCGGAGATGACCTAAACAAGGAAGTGGAAGAGTTAACAAAGTCACAAAAGCTCAGCCATAAAGTGACTCCCAAGAGACACATGGAACCTTACAAAGTCCCCGCCTCAAGAGGTGTACGTGGTCGTGGCCGCTTGAGTCAGAGTGCTGGCAGGGGAAGAGCTCCTCTAATTCTTTTTTAGGTCAAAGCCGGGGCCATACTCGGCCCCAGCAGAATCCCAGGACCTCGGCAACCAAGACCCAGTAGGATCACCGGCTGAGGTAAGTCAGACAACTCTTGCTACTATTATTGCAAATCAAGTTCCTTTTAAGGCAGGAGGACTGCGAGACTGTCTTCATGTATGGAAGACTATCACATCAGATCCTTTTATCTTGGATACAGTTAACTTATTAACTTTATTATTCCATCGCTCATATAGTACAAACTCAGTAAAGCCAAAGCCGGGGGCTTATACGGCCTGTGGTCAGAATGACAGAAATTATTTTATATAAAATGAAGAGTTTAGGCTAAACTACAAAACTAAAACAAGATACAAAACTGAAATTAAATAACTTTACATGCATGCAGTCCTATAACAGTCCTATAACAGCCCAAAACTAGTGACAAATAAACTAACAATAAGCTATGAGAATCCTGCGCTAGTTCAATTTAGGCTTAAAAAGTGAAGTTTTAGTTTCTTTTTGAAGTTAGTAGTGGTAAGGCTGTCACAGACAGTCAAGGGGATATCGTTCCAAATAGTCGGGGCTAGAGAGCTAATCGCAAATTGATACCTGAGGGACGTTTTATGCAAGTTGAAACGACAACGAGTTAGATAATCATGAAAATCACGATTAAAGTGGAGGAGGGAGGAAAGAGAGGCCGGTAAAAGGCGATTAAAGTGTGAGAATACAAAACAAGAAACATGAAATTTATAAAGTGAATGGAGAGAAAGAATACTAAGCTTCGAGAAAAGAGGCTTAGAACGAGTTCTTGGAGGAGAAAAGGTGATAATTCGAATGGCTTTCTTTTGGAGTAGATAGAGGGGTTCAAGGTAGGAGGCATATGTAGATGCCCAGATGAGGTTACAATAGTTGATATAAGGTAGAAAAAGGGAATAATATAAGGTTTTTAGAGTGACCGAAGGTAAGTATCGTCTCGATTTAGACAAAATTCCTATAACCTTAGCGACTTTATCGCAGATGGAAGTGATGTGCGGTTTCCATGAGAGGTTTTCGTGAATAATTATTCCAAGAAATTTATGTTCCTGTACCCGCGCTATAGGGGTGTTATTTATTAAGATGTTTAATTCTGAAGGATTGATCTGTTTACGTCGTGGATGGAAGATGATGAATTTGGATTTATCAGGATGAACAGTAAGCTTGTTTGCGTTAAACCAGGAGGAGACATGAGAAAGCTCTTGATTAATCATTCTAATTAAAGTAGCCAAGTCTTTATGCCGAAGAAAAATATTGGTGTCATCAGCAAAAAGAATAAATGAAAGATAATTTGAAGAAAGAAAAAGATCATTAATGTATAGGAGGAATAATAAGGGGTCAAGAACAGAACCTTGAGGGACCCCACACACAACAGTATTATTAGAAGAAACATGACCTTTGACCATAACATACTGTTGTCGGTTGTCTAAATAGCTGGTGAGCCAAGCTAGAGGAATACCACGGATACCATAAAAGTTTAATTTGTCAATAAGTATCTGATGATTTACAGTATCAAATGCCTTCTTGAGGTCTAAGAAAATTCCAATAGTGTATTATTACTTTCAAAGCCTTCATATATATTGTTTACAAATTCGAGGATAGCCATAGTGATGCGGTCTGAAGCCATATTGATGGTACATACATACATACATACATACATACATAAACTTTATTTATCCTCGGATTTTAGTGTAGCTTACATAGCTAGTATCTCCGATCCTAACTAATTATAAAAGTTACAACATATATAATATAATATTAATTAATGTAGTATTAACTAAAACCGTGCACTAACAATTTGCGCTTAAACTCACTATAATCTACAGTCTTTCTAAAGTGATCAGGTAGAGAATTCCAGTACTCAACAGATGAATAGCTAAAGGAATTTAGACCATATGTGGTTGTAGACGGCTTAGGAAGTGATAAAATATTAGCACCCCGTAGGGAGTAAGCAGTAGATCTTAACTTGATCAGTTGTTTTAAATAGCACGGATATTTACCAAAATGGAGACATTTGAATATACAAATCATCATATTTGTATCCTCCTGTTAAATGGTGACTAAGAATGTCAAATTTTTCAAGAAATGCAGACAATCTGATGTAAAAGAGTTTTTCAAAGACCTTGGAAAGACAGGACAGTGATCACATTTGAAGATGGAAAGGATCTTGGCTGTTTTGAGCTTATCTGAAAAAACACCTTGAGAAAATGATAGATAACAGATATGGGTAAAAGGGGCAGCTATTAAATCAATAGTATCTTATACAGAGGCCATCAAAACCCTCACATTTGCTATTTCTTAGAGAATGGACTATATTAGCAACCTCAGTGGGAGAAGTTGGGTTAAGATAGAAACACTTTGCGTAATGACCAATCAGAAACTCTCTATACGTAATTTGAGTGGGAGAGATTTTATTTGCCAAAGAAGGACCAACATTAGCAAAGAAATTATTAAACTTTGTAGCTATCTGAGTAGGATTTGAGTATGAACCAGAACTATCTTTCATGATATTGAAACGTTGCTCAGGTTCCTTTTTAGAGGGAATCTGTTTTATGACTGACCATGTCTTTCTTAAATCTGAACGGACAGACAGCAGTTTGTCATGGAAGAATTTTTTTCCTGGCAAGTTTGATGAGAAAATTGTATTTATTGCGGTATTTGTTGTATCTCAACTTGTTGAGTGCAGTTGGATTTAACTGGAACTGTTTGTAAAGAGAATTTTTCGTTTTACAAGAAGTAAAGAGACCATTTGAGAACCACGGTTTTGAAGAGCGGTGAGGTTTAGAACATGCGGGTTGAAGAGGAAATGACATACTGTATGCCAAAGGAAGAAGACTAGAGAATGTGTCATAAGATTCATTTACAGAAATAATGGAATAGACTGAAGACCAGTCGACGCCTTCCAGTTTAGACCTGAATGCTGACATAGTTGTTGAGTTAATAAGACGTGCAAATCTCTTTTGGCGTGGTGGCTCAACAATCATTTTCAAGTGGGTAACTTGAAAAACTGGGAGGTGATCAGATAAGTCAGTGTAAAGAATGCCACTATTCATGTTAAGTTCAAGATTGTTTGTAAATATGTTGTCAATCAGAGTTGCAGTTGAGGAAGTTATGCGCGTTGGTTTGGAGATCAAAGGATAGACGCTTTGAGATGTCATAAGATTAATGAACTCATTTGTAGGTTGATGAGAATGAGAGTTGTTTCGAGGATGTTGATATTAAAATCACCCATAATATAAATACCTCTTATTAGCCGAGTTTTCGGTCCGTACTGTAAATTACGGACCGAGCTTTTTTCCATCGATTTATGGCCCAAGCGCGAAGCGCGCGGGCAATAAATCGATTGAAAAAAAACGAGGATCCGTAAATTACAGTACGGACCGAGAAAACGAGGCTAATAAGATGTTTATCATATGGCTTCTTCCAGTTTTGGGGACCGGAAACAAGTCCAGGACGCGCGATTTGACAATCATTTGACAGGCGTCAAGAAAGAAAGTTTCTGTTGGCTCACGAAAACAATAGCACACAACAAAGGGTTTCCGAGAAAGTGAAAACAAATTCGCCATGTTGAAAAAGATTATTTGGCCAAACTAAGAGCGCTGTAAGTTTTAGCTCTTTAATGTAACGATGGAGTATTTTGGAAACCGGGCATCTTTCTCGAAGTCGTTTCCATCTTTCCTCCGTTGGTCCTTGTAAAAAAAAACACTGCAAAAGGCAAAGAAGCTCTTCAAGGTAAGTTTCTTGTCATTGTCGAAGAATTCGCTCGTTAATTTTTTTGGGAAAACCTCTCGAATTTCTGCCAGTTCATTCCCGTCTTCAAGCGTGATCTGCGTTAAAATTTTCAAACACGGACAATATTTTCTTCCATGGAAAGGTTATACGATTCAGTTCCTACATCAGCTTCGTTCTCATTCAAACAAAGCTAGGTTAAAATCTGGAAAGGCAAAGTCAACATCCCAGTCCTCAGGGTCTAGTGTAGTCGGTCAAAACTAAGAGCATTGTAAGTATTAACTCGCCAATGCGACGCTGGAGTCTTTTGAAAACTGGACATTGTATCTGGCTCGGAGTCGCTTCTATCTTTCTTTCGTTGGTCTTTGGAAAAACACTGCAAATGACAAAGAAGCTCGTCAAGATGATCGGTTGCATGCATGTTTGTTGTCATATTTGTCGAAAGAATTACTCATTTTCTCTCAGGCAAAACATGTCGAATCTCTGCCAGTCGATTTTCGTCTTCTTAACTGTGTACTGCGATGAAATTTTCAAACACTGACTAGAATCCTCTTCGATGAGATTACCAGTTAGTTTCTTCATCGCCTTTGTTCACAAATAAACACAGTTTAAAATGTTGAAGGACAAAGTCAAAATCTAAGTCCTCAATGTTGATAGACGTCTTGTAGCTTAATTTTAACCTTTTTTTCCGAGGTGAAGAGATTTAGAGCTCCGAAATGAGTTTTTTATCTGAAATTTTGGTCCGTATAGCAAGTTACGGACCGCAAATTGACCAATCGCATGGCGAAAACAGACTCAGCCATATAACTAGAAATACGTGTATCGCAGAACCTCGCGAAGCTTGGGGGAGCCCATAAGGGGTGAGAGATCAGGAGAGAAATGAAGTAAATCATGTAACTGGGGAGGGTGGATCTAATAGTGGAAGCTGAGATGTACTTAATCCCACGTGGATTAAATTTGAACCTAATGCTCTGGCTTTAAAAAGAATCTTCTGAGATTTAAATAGGGTTGCTGTTGTCAGCGAATGCTGCATAGGTCCCATCCCCCCATGTTCACTCCATTTGACCCTCCTAAATGTGTGTAATTATGGTCAAAAGGAAATGGGGGTGATAGTGGATAACTGCCGGCTAGTATTCAGTTGCATTTGCTTAATAAAAGCTCACCCTTAACCCTATTCAGACTGGGCTTTTTTGGTCAATCTGTGACTTGGGTGGGGTGGGGGGGGGGGCTCCTCGGACCCCCCCTCTGTATCTCTGGAACCAATAATGCTAGGGTCATGAAATTTACACACAATGATCATCTCCGTACAAAGAAGCCCCACACCCAGTTTTGACTTGCAACGCCCAATGATGACGTCACAGTGGCGTCATATTCCGATTTTTCAATGTTTCTTATTATTTTCCACTTATATACGTAAAATATCAATAATATTGGTAAAGTCATCTCTTTAATATAATATACAACATATATGCATATAAAATACGCACTTTGACATGTGTTTTGATACTTTAAAGGTGCTAATGACGTCATAATTGCCAAAATTTGAAATGGTTGTCCACCGTCTTGGATCCGCCATCTTAGATCCGCCATCTTGGATTTCCGTTTTTTTGTTAAAATTATAATTTAAAGCAACTTTGAAAGGGAAAAAAGCTCAGAATGTATAAAAGAAGTATCAAACTAATGTTTATTACCCAAACAAATGACTTTGGAAGTGTTATTTGGAAAATAGAGCAGCATATTTGTCAAAGCAAAAAAGTAACAAATTTTACCCCACCCCTCCCCCCAAATATTCGATGTTGAAACATTTTGATGTAATTCAAAAACTAGTCCCAAGCAAAGACCATTTTAACAACAAAAAGCACTGTAAGTGTAAAAACGCGATCTTAAAACAAAAAAATGACCATTTTTTAAATTTTCCAAAACCTATGTGTCAGAAACTGGTTTCCATGGCAACATGATTAATCACATGGACATGGTAGTTATACCAAAATGTTCCTAGATAAATTTTAGGAAAAGTCAGAAAATTTGAACGTCATAGCTCTTTCGGTGTAGGAGTTATTACGATTTTGCCGGAGGGGTGGTTCGAAAAGCCCCCCAAGTCTGAATAGGGTTATGTGCAATAATTATTTGTGAAATGTGTCAGTAGAAGTGAGTGGATGGCAATTCTAGGAGATAAGTGCTGCAGTGAAAACAACAACTAATATAAATGCTGCTAATTGGAGAAAGAATTTATTGTTCGGCGAACTACAGCTATAAAAGTGTTTGCACTTTTTTTGGTACATAATCATACTTCACAACTATTGTTTGTAACGGTAAAGTGCAAACATAATCAATTACAAGTAGCAATGTCATTAAGGATGCAGTTCATGAGAATTACTAAAGTGATCATGATTTATGATTATTGTATGTGTGGGCATTCACCTTAAAGAATTGAATCCATGTAAAAAGTACCAATTTTTTACCAGTTAGGCAAGTGTTCATAGTTATTCGTGTACATGCATAAGAAACAAATCCCTATGCAAGAGTGAATTTGTATGAAATGTCCACAAACAAGCTATGTTGAAGGTCATCAGTTTCTCCATTGGTCTCCATTCTAAACATGCATGAGCTTGTTGAGACAGTGCCAGAGCCATAGATTTTTAATTCCCCAGACTGAGACGAGGCAAATGAACACTTTCCCTGTATTACACACATTTCTGGTGAATGTAAAGGTAAGTACAGGATGAATTGATTTTACGGAAAACCCTACATAACTATCTGCTTGCATGTCGTTTAATTTCTTGAAACAATATTCATCTGCCAATGGAACAAATGTTTTATTTCTGTGAATATGTTAACTCTGTCTGACTTCTTTTAAAGAGTGAAATTTTATGATTGACCTGTTACATTTTCCCTAACAGCGAAAGGATTTAACGTTCCTGGCATGGCAACCATGTCACACACAAATTTTCTGAGGATATCCGGATTCGAATAATATAGGAACAAAAATACAGGGGGCCAGCAATAACAAATTTTTGTCATGTTTGACTTAAAAGACACAGCTGGGTTTACGTATAAGGTTGCTATGCATACATTTATTTTACTTGTGAAGGAAATTGAACGAAAATTGTAAGCTTAAACGAAAAATTTTGCCCAGTAAGGATTTTGTTTACAAAATGTAACGCTTCCCTACATTTCACACATTATCGGTGTTGTAAACTGTTCATTTGTAAAATAAAGCTTACTGTAAAACGGTGAAAAGGTTGATCGGCTGTCCTCAGTCCGTTGCAAAGATACTCCTTGTGTCGATTTTACAGATGGTGTAATTCTTGCTTCCTGTCGTTGCATCGAAGAAGATAATTTTGCCTGTAAACTTGCCTCTCCTTGCGAATTCTATTGACCGAATACTGAAACGTCGGCAGTCGGTGTTCCCTCTCTTCGTCGGCTTCTTTTGAAGTGTAACTGTAGTATTTTGTTGCTCCTCTGTCTCTAGTTGACAGTGTTGGCCTTCGATGTGCCGTTACTCGCGCTGAATTTAAAGTCGACGTCCTCGCTCTTGCGGAGTTTTGTTTGTAAATCTTTCCCAGCGAGGATTTCCAGCCACTTGTTTAATCCACCGTTGTTGAGTTTGCTGTTCTGTTTTATTTACCTGAGATATTGGGTGGTGACTCACCGACCGTAAACATTGTTATAATTCACAGATGAAACCACCCGTCTTCAAGAAGAAAACCCAGAGCTTTGTCGTCGATGGCAATCGGTTGCCCGGAAACCTATAGTGCACTTTTACGTCACTACTGGATGACGTCAAGGCGGACACCAACCAAATTCGACAGATTTATAGCCAAGAGGAAATCACGCTGGCCTTGCGATGCTTGAGTGATACACGCACGCTTCGCGCGCGACAAGATTATAAACCTCGCGGCTCGGCGCTCCTTGCCTCGCTTCGCGAGGAATAAGATACCTTATTCTCAAAACTGATGGCTGACAAGATATCTTCAACAGACCTGTTAAAGTCATTGAGAGAGGCATCGGGAGGTATATAGAGGCAGCCAACAATAATATTTTTACCATGAAGTCGCATGATTTCCACAAAGACTGATTCGTACGATGAATTGTCAGAAGATTGAAGATCAATCCTAGGCTTAAAATTCATATCAGACTGAATGTAAAGACCAACTCCACCACCTAATTTATGTTCTCTTGAACTGGAGATAAAATGGTAGCCAGGAATATTAAAGAGATCAGAATTAGACCTACTCACTGTCATATTGAATTTGACTGGGAACCTGGAATATGTACTAGTACAAAGTGTTACTAGGCCTTTTTGTTCCTTTACTGAAATTGAGCAGACTATCATTGACAATGAAGTAGAAAGATTCCTTCTTAAAGGGATAATAAGGCTATCATCACATGAAGATGGCCAGGTCATATCTCCAATTTTTACGAGGCCTAAGTAAGATGGGACTCACAGGGTTATATTTAACCTAAAGAAACTGAATGAGTCAGTGACATACCATCATTTTAAGATAGGCACGTTAGAAACAGCTATTAGACTCATGAGGCCTAAATGTTACATGACATCTATAGATCTAAAGGATGCGTATTACTCTATCCCTATTGCAGAAGAACATCAGAAATATTTAAAATTTATTTGGAGGCATCAATTATATGCTTTCACTAGCCTGCCTATGGGATTGACTAGTAGCCCTAGGATTTTTACGACAGTTTTAAAACCGGTCTTTAGCTACTTGAGGAGTCAGTTTGGCCACACATGTCTGGGCTATATTGATGACTCTTTCTATCTTATACTTTCTCTTTCTTGCTTATACGGAATGTGAAGAAGCCACATTACGTGCTATACAACTTTTTGTCAGTCTGGGTTTGAAAATCCATCCAGAAAAGTCAGTTATTATATCAACACAGCTCTAAGAGTTTTTAGGGTTCATTTTGAACTCTATTTTCATGTCAGTTACTTTGACTAACAAGAAAGCTGTTGAAATGTTGCAGTTGTGCCAAAAGTTCTCTCTTCCAAATAAACGGTTAACTATTCGAGAAGTTGCATCTTTTCTTGGGACCTTAGTCTCCAGCTTTCCAGGCGTGGAGTTTGGCCTTCTACATTATCGCCACATTGAGGTTGACAAAGAAGCAAATTTGAAATTGAACCGGGGGAATTTTGATTCATTTATGACTTTGTCTCATGACAGTTTGGAAGAGATTCACTGGTGGTCTGCAAATATTCTAATAGCATCAAGAAGAATTTTTCATAATATTCCTGATGTAGTTGTTTACACTGATGCATCCCAAATAGGTTGGGGTGCTCAAATCGAACATGGGAATAATGGCATCTGGTCTAAGTCAGAGTCATCCAGGCACATAAATTACCTGGAATTATGAGCAGTTAAGCTTGCTCTGTCCTCGCTACTTGATGCCAGGAACAACATCCATGTGAGGGTTATGTCTGATAACGACACTGCTGTGTCTTACATTAATTATATGGGAAGTTGTAGATCTTTAGAATGTAACTCCATTGCTAAGGATATTTGGGATTGGGCTATTGACAAAGATATTTGGTTATCAGCAGCCCATATTCCAGGATCAAGCAATATTGATGCTGATCAGTTATCTCGGAATGTGAATTTGGATCTGGAATGGATGCTTTCCGCTCCGATTTTTCAGAGGATAGTAGCTTTATTTGGCAAACCAGATATAGATCTATTTGCTAGTAGACTTAATGCTCAGGTGGAGGATTATGTTTCCTGGAAACCACATCCAATGGCAAAGTTTGTAGATGTTTTTACCATTGATTGGTCACAATTTTTCTTCTATGCTTATCCTCCATATATTCTGGCTTGTTTCAAGGTGTGTACAGAAAATAATTCACGACCAGGCATCAGGAATTCTAGTAATTCCCTTGTGGACAACTCAGCCTTATTTTACGGCTGTACTGAGACTACTAACAGAAACGCCACGTGTATTCAATGCTTCAGTTCAGAATCTGGTTCATCCAACCCTGGACAGTCCTCATCCCCTACACCAACGACTGCAGTTGATGGTATGCAAGTTATCTGGCGATCCTTGCAAGAGTCTGAGATTTCGCCAGACATTGTCGACATCATCATGCATTCATGGAGAGACAGCACTCAGAAACAATATAAAGTGTATATCAACAAGTAGCTGATTGAAATAAAGAATGATCCGTTGTATCCCACTGTAATTAACGGCTGTACTCTTTTTTCTGCACAGTCTTTTCAAGAGTGGCTTGAGCTATTCTGCGTTGAATACAGCTCGGTCTGCGGTCTCCAACATTGGCATGAGTGATAGTGATGCTCCGTCTCACACACCTGTAGGGAAGCATTTCCTTGTTTGCCGTTACCTTAAAGGGGTGTTCAACAAGCGCAAGCCTGTGCCGCAGTTTAAAAATATCTGGTCCGTGGATACTGTCCTTGATTACTTGAGTTTATTTTGGCCTCTGCACGAGATCAATTTGAAGGAACTCACCCTAAAATTAGTCATGTTGATTGCCTTGACTACGGGGCAGAGGTGTCAGACTTTGACCTTTTTGGACACATCAGAGAAATATATGCAGAACAATGATACATGTTTTAATTTGGCCTTAACTGAACACCTTAAGCAGGACAAACCTGGCAAAGTGTTTGGCAATGTACGCCTTTACAAGTATCCAGTAAGGGAACTGTGTGTTTATGAAACATTAGATTATTACCTAGAGGCTACTGAAAAGCTTAGGAATTCTTCAAAATTGCTTGTTTCGTACATTAAGCGCTATAAGGCAGTAACTTCGTCTACTATTGGACGCTGGATCAAAACTTTGTTCGGACAAGCGGGGGTTGATACAGAAATATTTTCTGGTCATAGCACTAGGTGTGCTTCAACGAGTAAAGCTCTTATGTCAGTTTCCACTGATGTGATTCTGGCTACAGCTGGTTGGACTGAGGAGTCCACTTTTCGGAAGTTTTACAACAAGCCAGTAGCTGTAACAAACCAGATTAGTTTGGCAGTTCTCACTTAGGTTTATACCTTGTACAACATAATTGTATTGCAAAGTAGTGTTCAGTTAAAGTCGGCGTGTGAAGTTGTTTATGTGCTTTCTCATTTTGTGCTCACTGCGTTTAAGTCTCATGGTAACGCGGATGTACGTAATGATTTGGTAGAATTGAAAATTAAACAAGACTTACCTGTAAGTTGAAGCTTGATGATAATTCTGCCAAATCATTAGTAGTACAGTAGGGTTAACATGCCCATAGCACCCATATGTTTACACCCACCCCTGACGTCGTTTCGACTGTGTTTTAGTGATCACAAAATTATTTTAAGACAGACCTGCGGCGGTGCGTGCGCATCTCATGTTAACCCTACTGTACTACTAATGATTTGGCAGAATTATCATCAAACTTCAACTTACAGGTAAGTCTTGTTTAATTTTCAATTATGAACTCGCTCACCTTTAGCACTCTTCTCATCAATATAATTATGATGAGGATCGCTGTTTTTCTTAGTAATAATGAGCAGATCTTCCTTTGTTGTTTGAAATAATGATCTCTCTCAAGTGTGTAAGCCTTTCAGAACTTTACAATGTTAAAAATTTTTCTTAAATTCGGCAAACCCAGCCGCAGTTTTCTCATATTTGTTTGTCCTCTTATCGAGAAGTTCCGCGCATGAGCCTCGCATTCATGACCAGGGCCTACTCGTCCCAGGACTGTCGGAGAATACGAATACTGTCTATTACAATAGTAAAAAGCATAACAATTTTTTACCATTTTTTCCACTATGAAAGCGTTTCCTTTGCGGTCCGAAACTATTTGTGAAGCTGCGATCTCAGCAATCCAAGCAATCTTGTGATAGTTTTTTTCTTGTTTGTTCAAAAAATAAAAGCCTCGGACTCTCAAAAAAAGGGACATCTGTATGAACTCGAACGCTTTAAATCTATCTTCTGGTGAATAATTACATAAGATCTTACAAAATTAAAGAAATATTCGGGAAAGTGTTTATACCCGATTAGCCGATAAAACGCGAAGGACGAGAATGAAAGGTAAGCTTGCAGTTTCTCGATTAAGCGGAGGACTTAGAGCTATTTTCCCTCTGATTTACTGATCCTTACCTATTAAGGGATTTTTTAATACCCAAGCTCCAAGCGTAACATCCTGAAGCAATAACTTTTGATGTTTTAGAATTGACTTTTGTTTGACTATAAAATGTTCCGTCAGATCGATCATAGGTAGAAATAGCAAAATGCGAATACTTCTTCGATTTTTAAAGAACTGACAAGGTAAATGGAACTTATTTTTCATCTGTTGAAAAACGACGCATCTTTTTTCACAAGAAATAACTAGAACCTCCAAGACTTACAGGAGTCAAAACCAGTCCGCGTGTACTGCGTGTTGCGCATTTCTTTCGCGTCGCGCGCGACTACCTTTGCATGCGCAGAAAATGTACGCAGTAACAATAGTGGGTACCCTCCTTAAATTTCTTAGTGGTGGGATACCTTATGAGGTCAACAAACTCTTAGCTAATAGAGAGTCAGTCTCAGGATAGGAATAAACTGATTCTGCTCTACGTGTAAATTTGAACCTTTCCATTGGATTGGTACTGGACATACGGACGTATGGACTCCTTATGGACTCCTTATTACGGACAATCTTGTTGGCCCACCACTCAAATACAGAAATGTCTACAACAAGGACATGTGGCCAATCTTTACTGACTGTCCGTTTGAAAAACGGTTTTGCTGTGCATATTCTCATAGGACACATAACACACACTGCAACGGGATTCAGCAGCTGCTTGATGCATTCACTGGCAACACTACTTTTAGCTTCTTTGCGTTACAAAGCACGATCCGTAAGTTGTGCTATCCGAAGCCTATCAGATCCCATTGACAGACCTGTCACAACTCACGAGCTAAGCAAGGGAGATAGACTTCAATACCCTTGAAGTAGACCTTCTTGTCAGCACCGACGGATCCAACAGTCTTGTTGAAAGTTGCTGGGGATGGGTGGGGTTCATAGAGACCTTGAGTTAAGAGTGGCTAGCTCAGGAAAAATAAAAATGCGCCTTTTTGGCTTCGGTTTGGATTAAAAATAAGAGGGGACTCCATTAGACGCGCCATTGTCGGCATAATAGCCCACGTTCGATATATTAAAATTCTAACATGACTCCAAGGCTTTCTGGTCATATTTGTATATCTGGTTTGGTTTTCTTTTTGCTCAAGTCTCCTCTGGAAATTGTGAGATAATAGAGTCGTCCAAAATTTGCAATCCGATTTTGTCCCTAAAGCCTTGGAGTAATGTAGTTAAAATTCCAATTTATCGAAAGTGGGCTATTAGCAATGACCTGCTGTTTCAGCCAAAACATGGACTATACGCTTAATCCCGCCCTGAAAAGAGCCTTTCCTGGCGTCTCCACTTTACTCAAAAACGGAGTCAGTCTTTCTTTATTTTTGAGTGGGAAAAATGAAAGCTTTGGAAGCGTTGCCAAAGCCACTAAAGGATTCTTACAAACAAACAACAGAACGTAAGAACACAGTGAAAGTCGAATTTTCAATGGAAATGAAAATTGGTTTGATAAGTCGGAAGTTCGAAAACTCGAAGGCTTGTTATAGAATCACACCTATTTATCATCTGGAACTTGGCTGGAGGTTAGACTACTCCCAGTGTGACAAACTGTAAGATTTCATTTTTCTGTAATAGTTTTAAAGTGAGGAGTGACCGGTCCTACGCAAAGTCCAGACACCCCTGATCTGGGTAGGGAGCAACCAGACCTACAGCTAACTGGGTTCATTAAGACAAAAACACTTCACCATCGTTACAAGGTCGGTAACAAACCAAGACTGACGTTCAGGTTTCAACTTTATAAACCAAGAGTTAAATTCTAATAAGCAGTGCAAGTAGATCAGAATTGTAAAGCTGTTACATTGCAACAAAAAAGGACGATAAAATAAGGGAATTAGTTTTTTTACCCCAAGGAATATCCGTGTATCCGCCAAAGATGAATTTCCCTTTCCTTATGATGGTAACAGTGTCGTACTTTCCATCGCAGAGACTGTGAAACTGACTAACATTCCAGCCATGCAATGTAGCACGAAAGCACAGCAACCAGTGAGAATTGTCCCCAACCGCATTCTCCAGAAAATTGCCCAAATGACGAAAATAGTAATCACTGCTGTTCAAAATCGACGAGTTCATAAATTCTGAAAATACTATTAAAGAATAATTTAAGTTACTTACAAATTAATTTCAAGTGTGGCGGAACCGACAGTTTTAGGTTGATCATATTTTTTAATGATTCTTTATTCCCTCTTGCCTCCCTTCCCCCTCCCCAGATATCATTCCTGTTCATTCGCGTAAAATATCTAATATCTCCCAGTCTCCCCTATCCCCTGAGGAATAAGGCTAGAGCCAACCTACAATTAGCCTGCGAGAGCATCCGGTTTTTTCGGCTCAAGTTTCTTGTTTCACCCGCTCTCGCAGGCTGACCTACAATAGTTTAATCCGCAACCGGCCAGTAAACACCCAGAAAAGCTGTCACGAAAACTGCGTATCGGGCCAATAATTGTTGGTCGAATACGTAAATATTCTTATGACCTGGAGAATCACCCCATTCTTTTCATCGGCTTCGCCATAATAACCCCAAACTCGCACAAGTTTGCCTACTAACAAGCTAACAACGAGCTCTTGCATGTTAGAACTGTTTTAAAAGACCCTAGATCAGGCCCGTAGGGAGGGGGGGGAGGGTGCGACGAGTGCAGTTCCCCCCACAGGCTCTAGAGGTCCACTTTATTTTTAACCAGCCGATTTAAAACAAAGTGAGTCTATAGTATTGTTCCGGTATTGTTCTTTCCTCACTACTAATTTACTGATTGTGTTGTAAACTTGAAAATACTGTGAAAGAGTTGACAAGCCTGACTGACGCTTTCCACAAAACGTGTTTTCGCCTCCGTAAAGTATTAGAAAGAATTTGAAGTCCTTTGTCTTTGAGATAGCTTAAAATATCAGCTGTTTTCTGTGGCTAATTTTAGTTTTATAAAACTGAGTAATATTCGCTGCACAGTAGAGGCTCTCCTCTCTGGCTGTTTATATGCACATCCACTATCTAACAGACATTGATCTGGAAGAAGTCGTTGATCTGTTTGCTAAGAAGCATCCAAGGAGGCTTGAACTTGTTCCACTATTGAAAAATCAAACCTAGTGAATAATACTGATTCAAAATTTTCTTTAATTTCTAATTTGTAATTTTCAATAGTGACATTGACATTGTCCTTGTAAAATCGTAAAATAAAGTAGTGAGTCTCTTTGCCAAAAAAATCACTTTTAAAGTTATAAAAAATATCCATTTTTATCAAAACGGTCGAAATGCAGTCTCAGACAACCCTTTTTCGCCCTAGAGACTTGCGCCTCCAGCCACGTTTTGTCCGTCTTCTCCTTGGATCGCACCCCCTTCCCCCTCCGGTACAGTAATTAAAACCTGGCTACGGGCCTGAAGATTTAACAAACACTTTAGCGTCTACTAAAAAAAAAAAAAGGATGAATAAAAATATTTTTATATAAGGTTAAGGTTTTTGCTATCAGGGTTTCTGTTACAATATTACCTGTGCAATTAAAGCCATTTCCAAAATATCCTGGTTTGCATGTACAATTGTAAGAGCCTTTAGTGTTGTTACAGAAAGCGTGCGAGTCGCACTGATGCGTTCCTGTGTCACACTCGTGTATGTCTGCAAAATAATAAATAAAATGCATTTAGAAGAATATAATTTTTACTGAATGATTCCTTCAATCATCTGTTGAAATCTTTCGTAGAAAATCATTTTGATGATTACCGTTTTCTTTGATTGCGTGCCACAATAAGTTAAGTGATTAAGCCAGACGACACACCACTTCATGGAAAAACTAGGGGTTTGTACGTTATGTTCTTCCCTACCTACCCATAAAAGGAAAATGTGTTTTCTCTGTATACCTCCTTTATTAATCCCCAGATGAACGTAAATGTCCATAGGTAGTCTGAAATGTCATTCGTCTCCACCCCATAATCCGTGAAGGGCGCGGAGGAGAGAGACGCGCCCCCCACAGATTAGGGGGTGGAGACGTGTGACATTTCAGACTAGGCCATACGCAGTTTTCCTGGCAATGCAGATTTTCACACATAGGTGTACCGGCCGGGGGGGGTGAGGGGGGCTGCAGCCCCCCCAAATTTTGGGCAACTCAGATTTTTTGGGCAGCAAGAGAAAGTTTGGGCAAAGCCAGCTTTTAAATACGTTTTCATGTTTTTTTATTAATATTTTGAAGAGATAAATATTTTCTATTTTAACCTGAAGTCGGCGTAATAATCCAATTACATTCACTCGAGACAGTGTTTGCCAAGCACGTGATGAGTTTCTGTTTATAAGGGAAGATTATCATATGCTGAGTTTTTTATCGTTGGGCACTGTACTGTAATGGGCTATTTGCAATCGTGAATTTATTAGAATAAACTTCCTCCTAACTTTCTAGAACCATCTCCGCTCATAGAACAGTATATGGCAGATAGCATCAGCGATTGATGTGAAAGTGAAGAAGTGGCTGACTAATTCTAGCTCACTTTGAATTACGAGAAGAATCTTAATTTTTTGAAAAAAAATCTATCAAGTGGTTCAAATTATTCACAAATTTGTTGAAGTACTCCGAAATGTTTACAAAACCGCAAACAAGAGGCCATGATACATACTAATGAAATCCTTCTTTGTAGCAATTGACCAGAATTATCTCTAAAATAATTCACGCACATTTTAAAAAGATTGAAGAAGCTACTATGAGGTTAAATTGCATGTCAAAAGCGCTTCGTTTTCTACAGATAGCGGCTAAACATCAAGATTTTCCTTTTCTTTTTTTACGGTATTTCTAACTATAAAAACTTTATCCCACAAGTATCCCGATAACGCTCTTACAGAATCCGTTTTAACTTCACGAATATCGAGGCGACTATTGGAGGAAAAAGCTCCCAAGAACGATTTCATACTGTGAGAAATAATGCTGCAAGTATAATAGGTAATGGCGTCATTTCGTTGCTATAACAACTCTGATGTCATTGCAACCCTGATTTAATACAACTGTGGTGGCAATTTTTCCAAATGTTTGTTTATGGCGACGTAGTTTATGCTCAAACTTGGCGGGTATTGACCCTGAAAAACTGTATCGAGGCACTTTCATATGCCAGTACGGCCTATGTTGTTGCATCGTATAGCCCTCGTTTCTTTTCGACTGTTTTGTAAAAATTTGGGCAACTTGCATGAATTTTTTGGGCAAATGGTTTACCGCCCCCCCTGGCCGAAAATTGCCCGTACGCATATGTTTTCACACTCACTGAATTGAAATTCCAGAAGCGTGAGTAACCACGTTCAGACATCGACTATACAGCTGCAGACCAGTACCACTGCGGACCGCATGGTTGGTGGAAAACCCACCGACCATAAATGAGGCTCGTAATGCTAATCACTACGGGGGAACTATGACACCACCCACACTCGACACAATCGCCTAATGAAGACCAAAAGTACGCAGTTTGTAACGTCGTGAATAAGTAACCAAGAATCGCCGAGAGGCGATTTTTATCTGGGCTGCCAAGGGGCTATTTTTTCTGAGGGGAGAGGGCGGCTATACACACTCAGGCTACTATATAAAGCCTTGTCGCCGGCCATTGCGTGGAGACAGAATCTCATGTGAGACTGAAACGTAAACTCATTCAGAACATTATACCCTTTTGAAAGACTTTCGTAACAAAAAAAGAATGAGTACCATTTTTAGGTGGGGGCTGTATAATAACTTTTAAATTCCACCATTATGAAGAAAAATAAACAAGTTAGTCATTAATTCTAAGCAGGAAACGATTTGCATTATTTTCACGCACCCCTCCCCGAATCCCTCTGTCTCCCAAAATATAGCGTGACAGTATAACGTGACTAATTTGACGTAACCGGACATTCCAAAAATAATTGTCGTTTCGCGAGTATAAAATGCGACAGGGTCAGCTACTCGCCACTGGGCTAATTTACACTAGACTGAAATATTGTATTGGATGAAACCCAGAAGTTTACTAAAACAGACAGCCAACTGCTCACGATCATTGATCCCGATCCAGGGGCCTCACTGACTGCACTGAGACTAGACGATCCTAATTTGCGGTCTACAGTCTACATGAAAACGCACTATTTTTTCCACAAGATAAAAAATATTCGGTTTTAAGATTTTCCTCTTGGTATTTTCTCTAACTTAAAGGAATAACATCCTTTGCATTTTGTGACCTAAAAAAGTTTAAAGATTTCTCGCTCGCATGTTGCTTCCATCAGCACGCACTTTAAACAATGTAAATAGATGAAAAGATCGATAACATATTTTTTTACCTGATACCGATATGCGTTAAAAAATTTGCTCGAATTCGCTGTTTGTCTCACGACACCCATGACTAACTTTTCTTCATGGCAGATAACTATGCCGCTTTATAACTCCTCCGAAGTTTTTGTGCCAGCTAAACAATATGGAAACACTATTTACAGTCCTTGGATACTAAAAAGACTGAACGTAACGCACAATGTGCCCTTGTTTACCTCTGATCACATCTCCAAGAGAACTCTCTCTTTTCAAGCGATTCATTTCAATGCACAATAATTGACCCTTATGTTAATTAAACCCTATGGTTCATTCATATTAAAACTGTTTTTGCCCCTCACATTTACTGTGTTCGTTCGTATTTAAAACGCCTTTAGGAAAATAAAGGTCGTGTAAGTCATGTGTATTATGTTTCGACATAAATGGATTATACTCTTTTTTAAGTTCCCATTTTCCGGTGACTTCAGGTTACATCTCCATAAAATGGTACAAGAAACATCAAGAAACATCACGCAAGCTGAAAATTTACAAAGGCTTTTTTTTTTAAACTTGCTAATGCTGACATCAATACATCTGATATATCGTGCTTACAGCATGAATGGACGAAAACACAGAATTGTGATCACAAGATCATGTACAAATTTAATGATGAAAGCTTAGCAAGATACAGATACAAACAAAAGCAAACCCCGTGAAACCTCGACCTGGGCTACACTTGTGTGCTCTACTCAGTCACCAAACCTTGTCAGTAATAGCTCCTATTTTCCTTAAGTCGGTCTTTGTGAAGCTCCGGAATGGGATGTCCCGGTGAAGCTTTGAACTTGTGTGCGAAATTCTCAGAGTTCCTATTTTTGTCCCTCTCTTCTTTATCCTCAGTATCCGAAATTTAGACCTCCAAAGTGGCGTGTGTTGCATTAAATAGAAGGAAATATTTAAAGGAAAAGCCAGTCTTCTAACATGGCAAAGTTGACACGTCCCTCGCTCATGGACGTGCGTAACATCAGGATTCATCTGACATTCATTGGCAACTGAGTTGTTCGCTTCACTGAGTATGACAGCTTACAATCAAGTCTTCAGCCATAGTGTCGTCAACTGGTGAAATACTTTGCTCATAAATTGTGCTTATTAATTGCTCATGTACTACATCGATCGATCATTCTCTCTTTGAATTCACGAAGCGGCCCCGGCGTTCCAAACGCGACGCTCACAGTCATCTTTTAGTGTGAACCTACCGTGAACGGCGTGTGGGTTTGTATGCAACGTGAAGTTTCTCTGAGTCTCCCAGCGCCAACATCATCAACTGACTTAATCTCGAACAATAAAAAAATTATAGAGTGACTCCTATAATCGAATCGCTTCGCACAACGCAAATAACCTTCGTCGCCTTCTGGGTTTCTGGGTGCTGAGTATTCGTGCAAGGGTCCGTGCAAGGGAAAATCCTATGAAACCATTTGTGAGAACATCGTTTCTCGGTACCGGACCCTCGTGTCTTCCCTCCCCCGGGGGACCGTTTTTCTTCACAGACGACCGAAAACCAATTTATAACTGGGCAGCCCCAAAAAGGGGCATCCCAGTAATAAGTAACGACTATCGCGTGATAAACGATAAACTAGTCTGCTACAATCTTGGACAAAACTGTTGAGAAAATTGTGTACTTGGACAGCATTTTTCTAAAAATCGTAGCTGTACCGGTTCTTCCCTCTCCCCCTTCCCCTGAAAGCAATGTTGTTGTGTATTCAAAAGAAAGCCTGATCCCTGGGCGTTTGTGGGAAGCAACATTGAATTGGGGGAAGGGGTTTTCTTCACGCAAAGGTGTCGTTTTGGAAATAGTTTTGTTGTGTAGGAAAGTGGACATGATGAGGAAAACTTTCTCAAATAGTTTTGTCCGGGATTGTATTTGACTGGGAAGGTGATTTGCAGCCTTTAACGCAGCCAAATAAGCCTGTTCTTTACAAATGTAGTACATTTCAAAGAAAGTAGATGATTAAAGCAAAATGAGTGAAAAACAGAGGCGTTTATGACAAGAAAACCAATTGGTATGTCTTCCTTGATTGGAGTGGTCAGTCAAGAACGTTTGCGAAATTCATTTTCCATGCATGGTTTTTACGCGCGCTTTGAGTGAAGAGTAGCAGGCGTACTTTGCGCTTTTCGAGGAGGAAAAGGGCGTTTCCGTCAAGCAGATTAGCCAGAAAATGGGAATTTGACCCACTACGATTCGATCAACAAATAACACATGGAACTTTGCTGAATTTTCAGGGCGCGTGACCCGACAACTTTGAACAATTTTCCCATCGCCGAAATAGTCAATGGGCAAGCACTTGCAATGAATAAAAGCATCAAATGGAGAGAGGATGAAATAATTACAAAAGCTGCATTTTTACTTTTCACATTTGAATGCTTACTTTTGAAACTGTAGCGATATCCAGTCCAAAGAAACACACTATGAAACCTAGAAATGTCACGAGCGATAACGTGACAAGATGTACTATCGCGTGACCTGTAAATGTGCACGTTTTGTATTCGGGTTACATAGGACTAGAAAAAATTATGACCTACATTGATAATTTGTGAACCAAGGCATGATAAAAGTTGCCATAGTTGACTTCTAATCTTTCTCTCTCCACAATATCTGCAAGTCGGAACGATTAACAGGACATTTTTGAGCGGCTGCGAAGATTAGCAACGGTCAAACAACGATTAACAGGGAAGTTTAATAAGAATCAGAAGGTCATTCTCTATTGAAAACGAAATGGTGTTAACCGTTTCAATGCTTTGTTAATCGTAATATTATTCTATCCATGGAATTATCATAAAAAGTTAACCGACTTTTAACGAACAAAGTTTCTGTAGCACCCATAGTTTAACCAATTATAAGCTCTGAGAAGCAATTTCCACGTGACGGGAAACGGTTCCATATCGGATTGACTATTATGTCCCTAAATAAACACTACGAACTCCTTTTCTTCGAAGAGAACCGTCATACAAGTCTTGTTCAGACTCTTCTGAAAAAGATAAATTACTTTTCACATTTTCCGAGCCTTCCATTCCGGAACTACAGGAAAATATGTAACAATTAGCAAGCGTTGTACGGCTATTGCGAAATCTGACTGTTTTAAAGAGGGTGCTGCAAAAAACGTATACGAGTTCTTGCTTTTCTATGAGAAGATGGTCTGGCGTGAAACTTTGTGCTCAAAACAGCTTCTGTAAAGTGCTTTTTATTAGCATGTTTTTGTTTTGTCCTTGCAAATATTCTTGCGAGAAAACGCGAATCACCTTGTACACAATCTTGGACAAAACTGTTGAGAAAATTGTGTACTTGGACAGCATTTTTCTAAAAATCGTAGCTGTACCGGTTCTTCCCTCTCCCCCTTCCCCTGAAAGCAATGTTGTTGTGTATTCAAAAGAAAGCCTAATCCCTGGGCGTTTGTGGGAAGCAACATTGAATTGGGGGAAGGGGTTTTCTTCACGCAAAGGCGTCGTTTTGGAAATAGTTTTGTTGTGTAGGAAAGTGGACATGATGAGGAAAACTTTCTCAAGTAGTTTTGTCCGGGATTGTAGCAGGCTCACTTGTGCGTGTTTGGGGTTGTTTTGGCGGTGGAGCCACCACCCCTAGCTGGCAAGAAGAATGGGATGAGGAAAAGCGAGCCTGGGGACGAGCTAAGTTTCTTTTTTAATTTCTCCCCTTAAGAGGTTTCAAGTATTATCTAATAGGAACAAAAAAAAATGTGAACAAAAATAACAGAAAGTTGCACGAGGAGATTTTGCGGCAGATAGAAAAATATAGTCATGGAAGAAAGGGAAAAAAATAGCGACAAAACCCGCTAATCCAGAAAATGATACTTGCGGAATATGCGAATATATTTTGACGTTAAGTATGGAATTGGAGAATCGCTCTATTCTTATCGCCGGTTTCGCTGGCTCCCGCTGACGGCACCGCCCTATTAATACACTCCAAACTCAGACAAGTGAGCCTGTTCACATGTTGGAACTATTTAAAGAACCCCAAACATGTAACATACACCTTAATTAATGGAACTCGAAAACATTTATTGAATAGAAATGCTTTCCTATCAGGTTATTCAGTGATATAAGCAGGAGGTTTTTGCTTCCTTGTTTTACCTGTGCAGTTAACGCCGTTTCCGGTAAATCCTGGTTTGCATGTACAAATGTAAGAGCCTTTAGTTTTGTTAGCCCACCCACACTTGACATAATCGCCTATTAACATATGAAGACTAGAAGTACGCAGTTTAAAACGTCGTCAATGAATAACTAAGTAACGAATATTCCCAGATGAACGATAAACCAGTCTTTTTCTAATTACTACCTAATTTCGACAAAGTAAATGACAGAAAGTTGCACGAGGAGATTTTTGCGGCAGATAGCAAAATATAGTCATGGAAAAAAAAGGAAAAAATCCGTGACAAAAACCTAGAATCCAGTTATTGATAGTGGTCGAATTAGTGCAAATATTTTTTTAACGTTTAATCACCCTTTTCTTATCGCCGGATTCGCCAGCTTCCGCTGACGGCTACCCCAAACTCGCCCAAAGGAGCATGTTCGTATGCCAACGATAAATAAGCCGCCTATCACATACTATCATGTTGGAACTATTTTATAGAACCTCTTTTAAAGATTTAACATAAGCCTTAGTTAATGGAACTCGAAAACATTTGTTGAATAGAAATGCTTTCCTATCAGGTTATTTGGTGATATCAGCTGAGGGTTTTCGCTTCCTTATTTTACCTGTGCAGTTAACGCCGTTTCCATAAAATCCTGGTTTGCATGTACAACTGTAAGAGCCTTTAGTGTTGTTACAGAAAGCATTGGAGTCGCAGTGATGCTTTCCAGTTTCACACTCGTTGATGTCTGCAAAATAGTAAAAAGAATGCATTGATTTATTTAGAAGAATATAATTTTTACTGAACGATTCCTTCAGTAGTCTGTTCAAATCTTTCGTAGAAAATCATTTTCAATTGATGATTACCGTTTTCTTTGATTGCTTGCCACAATAAGGGAAGTGGTTAAGCCAGACGACACACCACTTCATGGGAAAACTGATAGTTTGTTAGTTATTTGCTACCCTACGTATTTACAAAAGGGACTTGTGTTTCTTCTGTATACTCGCTCCTTTATTAATCCGTGGGTCATGAACGTCAATGTCCATAGGTAGTATGTCATAAGTCTCCACCTCCTAACCAGTGAGGGGCGCTGGGGAGAGAAATGCGCCCCCACGGGTCAGGGGGTGGAGATGTGTGACATTTCAGACTACTGAGTCCATACTCAGTTTTTTCTGGCAATGTAGGCTTATAATTAAAGTGGTATCATCTTATTTTCACACTCCCTTTTTTTCATTTTCATACTTTAAATCCATTAGGCCCATGCATACAACAGCGGTGTTTTGTATAGCTCCACCCTTCAATCACTTATGTTGGCCACTTTGTTGAGGTCCTGTTAGGCAAGATTTCGACAAGCAAAACATGTCCTTGAAACAGCGACATAGGGCAGCAGAAATGGCGACAAACGACACAAAGATGGATTGAAACTGTGACAGCGACAGAGAAAAGCGCAAATACGATAGTAAAATATCGATAGCGACATGGCCTCCTCCTCAATACGCGAAACAGCAGGTTTTGAAATTCAGACTCTGGACATACGTAACCCCCCTTAGAGGGCCTATTTCTTATGATGATTAAACTGGTAGGTAACACAATAATATATGGGAATGTTATAAGTACTCAAAGAAAATATTTTAAAGGGAGATAGAAGATAGTAGAAGTTGTATTATTTGTATACAGTAAATGACGTGAAACTCTGCATTTGGAGCCCAGAGATTATATAAGCAAGCAAACAGGATCGAGGGTACTGTAGCATTCATATAGTTTTTGCAAAATGATAAAATTTTTTGATGGTTTTCAAGAATAACGGCCGAGCAAGACAAACACAAGCAAGGGGACCCCATCTTTTTATTGAATTTTTTAATATCCTACACATGGCTATCAATTGTGCCAAGCTTGCGCATTGCCACTTTGTTTTCGTTACGACTAACTATTAAACAATCTACACATCCATTTAGAAAAGACTGCCGAAAAGACTTAAGCAAAATATTTATCTAATACATGCATGCAAATTCTCTGTTTAAAAACGTCCGTCATGTGTAATGTTTGGGATGATCCAGGTGTTAGGTATCACTTACGTTAATTTGAACGTCACGAAAAATTTCCACATTCCATTCCATTCCACATTCGAGGCTTATGGTAAACGCCCAAGTCTCGTACGTTACATGCTTTTCTTTTTGTGGGGGTGTATTCGAGCAACTCGCTCGCTACAAGACGAGGTACCAGGAATCTGATTTACATCTTGCTTTTATTCTTCTTAATCTTCTAACTCGTCCACTTTTTTACTAACTTACTTCTACCAACTTCTACTTTTCTATTACTTCTCCTCTTTTCTCTACTTCCTAGTTCAAGAATATTAGCGGTTTTAATAGCCAAAGCTGGACATGTTTGGGTTAGCTGACCGGAAGAGTTTCTATTGTATATCTTATCGCTAACATTGCAACACGTTTGCCATTGTTAAGGAATAGATTAACCCACGCACAGCCGTAACTGATAAGTACCAAAGAACGAAGGTCAGCTCTAACACCACAAACACGACCACCTGTAATGAACTAACATATGACAACGCCAAGTGATTAACATTCCGAATATGGCAATAAGTAAATTCGCCAGCTAAGCATGAATTCAAGTACAAGTAAAAACAAAATATCAAAACAGGAAAACAGTACGTGAACAAAACAAGACTTAATGAAACAAAAACTAAACTTAAAAGATAAGATAGATCCGTCTTAAAAATAACTTTCAAAATACTTCACAACATTATATTACAAGGGATGTAAATTAATTCCTGAGGACTACACTATATCAACAACACATTGCCAGAGAAAACCTGGCAGCAGATTATAATTCTTTCCTTGCTACCAAAAAGAATTGCCACGTATAAAGTATAGAAAGTTGGGTGATTTCGTTTTCAGCCGCTTACGTCTTTCACTCTTCTCCTATATTGTCTGTCGTACTTAAGGAACAAAAACAGTTTGGACTTGCCCATTTCGCATTCTTTTCCTCTCCAATGCGGACTGCATGAACAAGCAAACGTATCTTTACCTTCGTCGAACAAACAAGAGCCTCCGTTAAGACATCCAGCCATTAGGCAGCCCTGATGAAAATGTTCATATGTTACTTCGGTAAGCTAAAATGATATACATCGTTTTACGTCGACTTCTCACAGCTTTATATATCAGAAAAGCGATGTTTTAGCCTCTCTCTCTCTAGCAGGGGAGGGCGACGTACTAGCTACTGATTCTTGCAGGTAGCGAGCCTGATCCCTCAACATTTTTTAACGACAAAACGCAAATCTAATGTTGAACATAAAAATTCCACTGATAAATTGGCGGCTCTGCGTTCCTCTTTTTTTGACATTTATAGCTGTTTGCACTCTATACTTCTCTTAACTTCATTTTCAAAACATGTAAGCCTCCTGTTAGGGAAGAAACATTGCCTTCGATAATTATGTTGCGGAACTGAAAAGTTTTGGAAAGGAAAACATGGCTCGCTCCCATACGAAACATATGACTGAAATGCGAGTGCTAGCTAGTGCTCTTTGACAACAACCCAACTTTACTGTTTTACCAAATTTCTATTTCTTTTTTTTTAACTTAGCTTCGCTTTAACAGTTGTTGCCTTAGCCTGGGTGCAGGATTTTATTTCTTCTTGCACGCGGAAATTAGGCTCGTCTGCACACGCACGCCCTTGTTGTCTAAGCAATGAAAATTCAGAACTTTTCTTACCTTTAGAAACAATGAAAACGTTGTGCCTAGATTATCAGTGAGCTTGGTGTCATCGTCAGTTGTAGAGAACTCATGCTTGTTCAGTTCACAATTGCCCGAGGACTCTTTGAAGTTAGAAGAGGTACACCAAGAATGTCTTAAACATGCTTGACTGCACGACATTTCATCCGTAGAATCGATTTTTTTTGACAACATAGCCATGTAAACGCTTGTTCTCTTGCGTTTTGATGTAGGCAGACCTAGAGTCTTCTTCGGCTGCTAAAACTGCGCCAACGACGAAGCAGAAAATGAGTGAGGAAATCATGTTACTTATCTGTGCAATATTACAGCATTGTTTCGTGAACAGGGTGTGTCTGCGTAAAGGAAGTTCTCGGGTAAAATTTGTAGGTTTCATAAAAATATATATTATATAATTTTGTATATAGCAAGTTAATTAATACTTTGAGCTCGATGGACGCGTGTCCTTTCAGTGATTGACTTGTCCTGTCAATGTAGAGGATAGGAAAATATTAAAAAGCTCGTTGCTGTTTTGGCGAACAGCGCTGAAAACGCTTAGGCCGGTTGAGGACATCGGAATTCACAAATTTTGTCTCTTGTTGAATGGTGAATATAAATACTTTGCTGTTGAAAAGAAGTGCAGCTTTTCTCTACCCCAGCACTGCGACGTTGAACAGGGCATTCTGATTAAAGGCTTTCATAATCGTCGCATACAAAAATTTAACCTCCAAAAATTAAGTTACCAGCCAGCGTAGAAGTAATATATCAAACATGAGACGCAGTGTTTCATCACCAGATGAAACACCGAGAAGAGAGTTGAAAATACGACGCGCAGCGGAGTATTTTTGACGAACTTCGAGGTGTTTCATCTGGTGATGAAACACTGTGTCGAATGTTTGATATTTCTTCTCAAACAAAATCATTTTTGAAGGAGAAATTAAGGATGCAAATACTGAGCAGTTTTTCATCCGATTTCCAAACACTCATTAAACATTAATTTTCTTTGTATTTTCTTTATGAATTATTAATGAGTTTGAAAAGTAGCATAGGAAAAAGGATGCTGCCAGATAAATTTACGTTTGCTTAAGTTTAGTCCTCATTTACTATACGTAACTGAGGTGTCTGTCCAAGCAAAGGAAATTCAAACACAGGTCAAAAGTATGGACAGCTTCTAAATTCTAAAATATGTTTCGATTAATAAGTTGCTGAAGTCAACTATGAACATTGGTATATAGTTTTTAATTACCTTTAAGAGCAAGAATAAAGATATATTGTTTTAGTAATAACTTTCAGTCCAAAAAAATATAGTTCTTAACATCAATTAACAAGCGGCACCTGAACGTCTCACATATTAAACAAACTAGTACTAAAAAACAATGCAGAAACTGATGGCCTTATTGTGACGGCAATTAGCGCGAGGAGAAAAAACAGAGATGTTTAAAATTCATCATAGTTTTAATTTAGCAGTCAGCTCGCCTTTACTGCAAATACTGCTGGATCGTTTAAGGTCAACTTAATTTCATATATGATTCTCCCGCGAATACAGCCATCTCTGGCGAGGTGCGAGTATACAAGGCTCTATTAATAGAAGTCAGTAGTACATTTTCAAAAAATTGCGAATAGGGAGTTTCCAGAGACGATAAATAAAAAAAAGGGCAATGGATAAAAAAAAAAAAAAACTACAACAACAACTATAACTTTTGCTATAAAGAAAAATTATCTATGAAATAATAGATCAGAATCTTTAGAGGTTTCTCTTTCTGTAACTCAAATTGTTCTATCTGTCGGATATTTTGCTATCGCTCGATCAGATCCTTAAAAACACTGTTTCCTACTAATTTAAAAAGCGTACGAAAATTCAGACAATTCATTCAAACAAAAACAAACAAAAAACATCGTGAGGCTAATTGAGTGGAAGATACAGGTGGCGCGTCGATCAATTTTTCATGTTTACTGAATTGTGTTTCGTATTTTCATGAGGCGAGTTCAGGAAATTTCATGTCCCCTCCTCCCACCCCTAACCCCCAAGTGGACCTTTTGTTAAGATTTT